AAAGATACAGCCACAGTACTCTGTGCTTGTTTTATTTTTTTAGTCTTACTATAATCCTTTTATTTTAATTAAAGCAAAATTGTATTTTCAAAAAAAGATATCTGTGAATGAACAGATAACTACTGAGGTTATACAATTATTGTTCAATATAACATTAGTAAAATGTTGTATTATAATGTAATATATCTATTAAAATAATTATATATAAATTATACTATTCATAGTAAAAGATGCTGTCAACTTTTTCCCCCATCTGAACATAATACAATAATACTACTTAAAACATTTTTAGATTTACAGCTACGGCTCACAGTTGTTAATACCCTCCACTTGTCTCCCTCTTGATTAAAGCCAAATACACATGCAGGATAAAAGTAGAAGATCCAAGTATTGACAATGCCAATGGAAAATGACTTTTAAAACTGACAAGTAAAAAGGAGTCAGAATTCTCTTCTGTGGGAATAAAGATATATGCGATTTTTTTGTTGTTGTTATTGTTTACATGTCACTACATACACAGGTCAAGTTAATTTATGAACTACAATTTCATTAAATGCATTGGCCTGAATTTTCTTTTATAGGACCTTCGAGCCCTCACTTTACTGCTTTCTGTGCATACCCCCAAACAGCTGAATCCTGCCCTAATACCTACTTTGCAAGAACTGCTAAACAAATGTAAAACTTGTCAACAACAGAAAAGCTCATTGCAGGAACAAGAAGCCAAAGAAAGAAAAACTAAAGGTTTGTTCTTGGGCCATATTTAACTTTTCCTTGCTGAACCCTGTCTGAAGCTGATTACTGATTGTTCTAAGAACTGTTCAGCTGAAAATATTCTGGGCGACCACCCTGTTAAACTGTAAACACCCTGTAAAAATCAGCAGAGTCTTGTCACATCTTGAAAACTAAATATTTCTGTGCTTGTTGACAGGAATCCAGTTCATCATACACATTGAATAACAAGATGGTGATAATCTTCCTAAAGCTTGAATGTATATAAAATAACTCTGACATTGATAAGTTAATTGATAAGATAAGAACTTACTGTCAAATTATAGTTTAAAAAGTTTGGGTTGAAATAATTTATTTTTAATCTAGAAATGTTTCTCATATCAAATGGCTGGGAAGTGTTTCAGTTGGACCCAGGATTTCTTTTCACCAGCAAGAATATTTCTTAAGCCATGTGTTCCAGCCAGCAGGAGGGAGAAATTAGGTTATTCTTGAGGCTCTCAAACATTTCAAAGCACATTTGGGAAGAGAGGAGGCAAGGTATTTCAGGGAGTGAGGGTAATAAAAAGAGTGTAATTCTTAGTTCTGCCAGTAAAAATAGTCCGTTATAGCAACTGATGTATGTATTATTTTGTCAATTCCTATTTTAACTGTACAGATGATGAGGGTGCCACTCCAGTAAAAAGAAGACGGGTTAGCAGTGATGAGGAGCACACAGTAGACAGTTGCATCAGTGATTTGAAAAATGAACCTAGGGAAGCCTTGACTCCAACAAGCACCTCAGATAATGAGACAAGAGACTCCTCCATCATTGACCCAGGCACTGAACAGGACCTGCCTTCCCCTGAAAATAATTCAATTAAGGAGTACCGTATGGAAGTTCCATCTTCATTCTCTGAAGATCTGATGCTGGCTACTCATCCACACCACGGGGAGGAGCAACTGGGCAGCGGGAGATTTGAAGAATGTAAAGATTTAAAAGAGCCATCAAGCTCCAAGGATTCTAACATTGTTGAGGATGATACTGAGTTCCCCTCCACATCTATTTCTGCTGTTCTTTCTGACCTCACAGATTTAAAGAACTCTGAAAGTCAAGCTTCCCAAGACCCTGAGTCTGGCTTATCGCTTAGTTGCAGCCATTCCAGAGGACTGTTGAGTCACATGCAGCAGCAACATCAAGACATTTTAGACATCCTTTGCAGGACCATTGAATCAACAATTCATGTGGTTATGAGGATATCTGGCAAAGGAAGCCAAGCTGCTTCTTGACAGTAGAGGAGCATGCGTGCTTTTAAAGTCTTTTTTTTTTCCTCCCCTTTAAAAATGCTGTTTGTATAAGTTCTGCTTATTTCTGTTTTGTGCTTCAGTTTGTCCAGTGCTTTCTGCTTGAATGGCAAGATGAAATTTATATGCTTAATTGGCCAGGCAGAACTTCAAATTAAAAAATAAATGATTTAGCATCTACCGTACGTTTTCTTAAAGGGCAATCAGATAATGAATATGTTTTATGTAATTCAAAGTTCACTGTAGTGGCTTTCATTTAATATGCCTGTCTGGGAGAGCAGGGTCTCTTTGCCCTGTATGATGTAATTGAAACTTAACTGCATTTTTACTGTGTATAATATGGTGTCCTCTGTGCCAGTTTTGTACCTTACAAAAGAGGCAGATTGCCTCGAATCGCTGTGGTTCTTATTATCAAAATTAAGTTTACTTGTATACTAAACAACCACACGAAATTTGATTCTATAAAGAATCCTCTTTAGCTGTGGCCTGACGGTATATATATA